ATGGATAGTCTCTTCTTAATCTGTTGCAAAAAGCTTCACAATTTTTCAATCCTCTTTGTGTTTATTCCTCTTCTAGGTAAGAATTATTGTTCTGACCTTCACTCATAGTAATATAAATATATAAAAATTAATGATTTCTATCTCTGATTTGATTCGTTGACTTTAGTTATGAAGAGATACCTGATTATTTAATTATCATATAATAATAATTTGAATCAAAAATATCCATTATCTTGAAATGCTTGATGTAATGCATTAGAAACATTAAATTAAAGTAGCTCTCCCAACCTCTAATATTCTTGTCTTAATCTAGTATTTTCTGCATGTGATTCTCTTAAAGCTTTTTCCAAACTATGTATTCTTTCAGTTTATTAAATTCTTTCATTCTATAATTATATTTCAAATATTTACTTCCCAAGCTTGACGATCTATTTTCTATTCATTAAGTAATTAATTTAAAGAATCAGATTGCATTTTTCTTTTTTATTCAATTTATGCATTTAATGTATTAATTTCACTTTCATATTTCTCTACTGCAGATTCTTTTACTTTAGCTTACTACTTCAAAGAATCACACTTTTGCCTTAATTCTTAATTTTATCTAATAAAATCTTTATTTTAATTTTTCAGTCTCTCCAATTCATCATATAATACTTAAACTTCTTATTTTCCATTTAAGATTCTTTCATCATATTCCCTTGCAGCATCTGCATTTCTTTTTATTATCAAATCTCTAGCCTCTTCCATAGCTCTTATCTTGGCATCTAAAGTTGTTGAAACTATATGGTATTTTTAGTACTCTTCCTCTTAAATCCTTCTTCCAAGATCTCTCAATTCTTGATCATAAGTTAATTATAATTAAATTTATCTTTCTTATAATGATCTTAATTCTTCTTCCAATATCCTATTCTCTTATTCAAGTTATCTGGATCTATCTTCTACAGCTCTACATCTATTCTCCCAATCTCTTACTAAATCTCTTGCTCTAAAGTTATTTTCATTCAAAGCTCTATCCAAATTAGTTCTGTGTTTCTTCTCCAATTCATTTAAAATAAATTCATTCTATCTTATTTTTTCCTCCATTGATCTTGTTACATCCTCTTATTATCTTTCCATCAATTAATATTCATCTCTTAATTTCTCAATCTAATATAAACTAGCTCTATTATCAGCTTCTAATTATCTAGTTTTTGCATCCAATTCTTCTAACAATCTAGTATCTGCTTTGTCTCTCCTCATTAATTCATCTAACTCTCTCTCCATTCTTTATTTAATATGCATTGTATGTATTCTCTCTTACTCTAACATTTATTCCAAATGTTAAACTACTGATGCACCTGCCAATCCACTAATCATTGGTTCTTCTTCTTCTACAACATCCTCATCAATTGATAAAATTCTATCCTTCTATATTGGATTACTAGCCCTATGTTATTCTAATATATCCTCTATAGCTTCATGATCTTATTATATAATTTCTGTTCCATTTAAATCCAAATATAAAATTGCCTTATTATCACCAACAGCTGATAATAAAAATTCTCCTCCTTTCTTCCCAAGAGAATTCCATCTCAAATCAAGTGAAAGTAAGGTAGTGTTTTATCTTAAAGCATTAGCTAAAGGTTCTATTTGATCTCCAGTTAACTTATTATTTGATAAACCTATATGTTAAAGTGACTTATTTGAAACTAAGTATCCTGCTAATGTTTCTATTCCAACTCCATCAGAACCTATTTGATTCCATTCTAATGATAGAATCTTTAATAATGGACATCCTCTTAATGCTGTTACTATATCCAAAAATCTTATTATAATTTTAATATATACCCTTAAGCTGTAATATTATTTCCTCTTAATACTAAACATTTCAAATTTTTATTGTTTTTCACATAATTAGATAATAATCTTGCTCCATCATCCCCAATATACATTTCAGATAAATCTATCCTTTGGGCATTCTTTAACTACTCTAACATTGTTTATAACGATACACTCATTTCAAATTTAAATTTTATATTATTAAATACATAATTAATCATTTCTATTTATTTTTCAATCTTTTAATTGTTTAACATGATTCAACATCATCTAAACCATCAATAATACTAGAAGATTTAAATTAACAGTTTCCCTTTTTTTATTCTTTCATTTTATTTTCTTTATCTTTATTTTCTTCACTTTTTTCTTTCTCTTTATTTAAAACTGCAATATATTTTTCTTTTTATTGAATACTTTTTTGTAAAGTTCTAATATCTGCAATTTTAGCTTCTCTTTGTAAACATAATTCATGAATTTATTTTTCTAATTGAATTTAAGCATTCTCACTTTTAGTAAGATCACTTTTGAGTTTATCAATTAATGATAAATTTTCATTTATTTCATTTGATTAATTTGTAACTATGTTCATAATTTCCTTTTATTTTTCTTTAAGTTTTTCATAATTCCCATTAATTTCTTTAAGTTAAACTTCTAATTTTTCTTTATCTAATGTTAATTTTTAAGAATGAGCTTATAACTATCCTACTTCTATATAATAGAGATTGTTTTAATTTCTTAATGCAAATAAATTCTTTTCATCTTCTTTATGTCTCAATTAAAATTCAAAGTTTAATTTTTCATATTCTTAGACTTTATGTTCTAAATCAACTACTTTTTTTTCTAATTCTGCTATTCTTCTTTCTTTAGTAAAAAGATTATTTCCTAATTTTAGATTAACAGCCATTTTAAATTATTAATTTCTTTTTTTTTCTATAATGAATTAAAGTTAATAATCACAAGAAGTTTACAAAATCATATTAGTTGGAGATCAAGGAGTAGGAAAATCATCAATTTTACTCAGATATACAAAGGATCTATTTTATAGAGATTATAATGTTACTATAGGACTAGAATTTGCGAGTAAAAAAGTAACAATATAAGATAGTTCATTGACCCTTTAAATTTGGGATACTGTAAGAAATATATAAATCATATTTAATAGGCAGGTTAAGAAGCTTTCAGAAGTATAGCTAGATCCTTTTATCGAAATTCTGCTGCAATTATTATTGTATTTAAATTAACAAGGTTCATTTGATAATTTATAAAAGTCGTGAATCATTTTAAAGTATTTCAGGATGGGCAAAAGATATCTAAGAAAATAGTGATGAAGGAGTTGTAATTTCATTGGTTGGAAATATGTCAGATTTAGAATCAGAAAGAACTGTGACAAAAGAGGAAGCAACTTAAAAGGCTAAGGAATTAAATGCATTGTATTTTGAAACTTCAGCTGCCACTGGATCAAATATTGATGATGTAATATATTTTAATCTAATAAGATATTTAGATTTTTATTAATTCATTAGAGAAAGTTTCACAATAACTCAATCCCATTAGAACTAATTCTGAATAAAATGTTAGAGATTCCATATAATTATCTCAAAAAATTTAACCACAAAATCAAGTAAAATAGGAATAAAATGGAGGGAAAAAATAAAAACAAAATGAAAACACTAATAAGGGCTGTTGTTGAAGTATTTTATAAATCTTAAAATTTATTGGTTATTTTATATAACAATATTATTATCATAACAAAGGAGAATTTAATTAAGTTTCTTCAAAACATTCAAACTCTTCTAATTTTATATTAAGCATTTCTAAGTTGTATTTCACTATCTCATTATGCTTAGAATTTAAATACAAGTTATAATAAGCTACTGTATTTTAATATTCGTGTTTATATATTTATTTAATATTCCTAATTAAACCTTATTAAACTTATTATAAATCTTAATAACTTTCTAAAAAATTGAATTATTAATTAAGTTTATAAAATTGATCTGCTTATATATAGTTATTACCACATTTTTATATATTATCATTAACTAAAATCAGAATTTATAATAGTTTTTAATAATAATTTTTTTATGGATGTATAACTTATTATTCATTTTAATAATTTTTCAATTAAAACTAAAGAGAATTGTGTTTATCTTTAAAAATTAAATATTTTGTAAAAGATATTAATACTAAATTGTTTTTATAGAATTAATTAAATTTCTTTGATATGATAATTTCAATATTTTTAATCTGTTTAGTTGTAATGTAAATATTAGGTAGTTATTCAACAAAATATGTTGGAATACTCACAAATATACCTACCATAATTTAGCATCTAAACCAAAAGGAAAGTGTTATTGATCTTTCATTTATTGGAATTATAGTAGTTAATGAATACCAAATTATAAATAGAAATTGAGGATACAATGTCAATTTAAATAGGTTATCTTAAATACTTTTGGTTTATATTATTCCTATTATAATTACAGTCAATCCTTCTTATAATAAAATACTTAAAGCAACAAGATTTTTATGTTCTTTATATACTTACATAGCTAATAATATTGGTTTTTATTATAATATACACTATATATAAGTTGGAAGAGGGAAAAAAAGGAATCCTTAAAGTAAAGAAATAAACAATAATTTTTTTTCATCTGAAAACAATTTAGCAATTTTTGTATTTTATTTTAATTATTTTTTATTTAAAGCTATAGCTATTCTTGCAAATTTCATCAATTATAATGTATAACAACAACCTCTTGACCATAATTAGAAGAATGAAATAATTTATATTAAAATTATTTATGTTTCACTATGTTCATATGTTTCTTTGAAAAAATCATGTTATAAATCATTGATTATATCAACAAATAATATAATTGTTGCAAATATTTAATAAAATCCACCTAAAAATAAAGTTAATATTGGAGATAATTGCTTTATAGGATATTGATCCCTTAATTTATATACAATAATGCAATAATATACAGTTAGAATAATAGATATTAGTTAGAGTAAAATCATAACAATAGCATAATCCAATTTTGATGTATCATCTTCTGATTCCATAAAAAAATTAGTATATTTTTTGTTTTGAATATTAATTAATTTATATATAATATTTAAATGAAAAATATAAAAGAATCCTTTATAAAGAGTATAAAAGAATATAAAACAAAAATTCACTCAGGCTTAAATTTCTTAAGTAATTGTACAATCTTTAATCTCAAATCCAAATATTCACATTTAATAAATTACAAAATTACTGGATGTAATATCTATTCTTGGAAATATAAAAAATCAAGCATTAAACCCATATTATGAACTTCTTCGTTTTTTCTTTCTGTTTCCTCTATAAATTAAGCTAAATTAGAATATATTGAAGATAATAAAGTAGGTTTGATAGTTTCTAAAATTTTATTGTTCAAATTATTATTATTTTAAAATAAACTTATTATGTTGATTATTGTAGTTTATTATGATATATTTTCCTTTGTAACTATTTAATTTATATAAAACATAGTTATTAATTCTATAATTATTATCTCTTATTCATTATTATATTAAAGGGATAGAAAATATTAAACCCATTCATAAATTTTCTTATTCTACATTAAAATTGGTTCTACTATTTATCTTAATACTTCTTAGTTTAAAAATTAAATGATTTAAGAAATCAAATGCTTTATCTTATTAATAAATGTTATTTATAGTCTTTCAGAATTATCAGTTAAAAATCTTTAGCTTTTCTATTAATATAAATAATTTTTACATTTAATTAAATTATTAAGGATCTAATAAATTTTACAGTTGGTTCAACCATTCTTGGTGTCAATTTTTATCGAATAATAATATCATAGGATGTACATAACATTTCTAATAATTTATGAAATCTTAATTAAACTCCTATTGAAGAGAATTATTCTGAAATAAAATTTAACCATTTTAAAGCATCTTCTTCTGATACATCATATCCAGGTAAACATTGAGAAACATATGATTTTAAAATTGAATTATCAAATAGATAATTTTCATTACATACTAATCCCATTAATTTAGAACTTATAATAAATGATTTTTATTATTGACTTTTAAATCCTTAACTCAATATTTAACAAATATATTGAAAAGTATCATTATCAATAAAATATTGAGTGTCAATTTAATCATTATCTAATAAAGAATTCAAAATATCTAATGATATTTCTATTTATTAAGTTGTATGAGTTAAGATCTTTGATAATACTAATATTATTTCATGTTTTATGTAAACTAATTGTGCTTAATTAAATGATTAAATATGATAATAAAACTTATCATATTTTTCCTTTTAAATAACAATTTCAGCCCAAAGAGATATACATAATTTTAAAATCTCTAAAGATTATTTGTATTATTCATTTATTGTTTGTTTATCAAATTTTATTGATTAAATTTAAAATTTAGGAGTCTCAATTAAATTATTATGATTAAATCTAGGTGTAGTACTAAATAAACTTATTTATTAAAATTCTATTCTTAAATATTGAACTATACAATTATTCATTAATTCTTCAAACAATTCATAGATTTCATTAAATTATTCATTTTATGAATTCAAACATAATTATGAAGCTATATGTAAAGCTGCAAATTTTAAATCATCTTAATTATCCATTGTGTCTTTAATTAATTTTAGAGACATATTCCATAAACCAGGATTATTTATTTTATGTTATATTGATTTTAATTACAATTACCATAACATGCATATAATTTTATGTTTAATTTCATTTTAATATTATTTAGATAAATATTTTGTAAGATAAACACAAATACTTGCCATTCTCATCAAACATTAATCATTTAATTAATCTAATTAATTAAAGATTAATTCACTTAAACAATTTAAACATAATAATAAATGTATAAATTCTTCTTTTTCATTTAATAATGTTTCAAATACTTTAATTAAATCAATATATAATGTATCAGATATTTGCTATTATTTTATTAAGAAATATAAAAGATTCATAATATATTCAACAACATCATCATATCTTGAATTTATTAATTCATACATAGCATTGAATAAATCAATTTTTAGATATTTATTATTAAAACATTAACAAATAATACTCTTCAAACTATTTAAAGAGTATAATCTCATTTCTTATGATTTAGATTAACATAAACATAATAATAATGCTTCCACTGTTTACCAAATCTTATCTAATCTAAAAACATTTGCTTATACTATTAGTACAATTTTATCAATAGCAAATTATTTATATATTTAATTTATATCATTTGTATTACTATTTATTTATACTTTTTCAACTATTTATAAAGCAAGTTAATTTAAACCATCCATAATTTTAATTAATGTTTAATCATCATAATCAGAAGAATTAATAAAGAATTTCATTATTTCATCTTATGAAAAATTTATCATTTCAATTCTTTGCATAGTTTAGAATATTTAATTCCAAATTTTTGGTGAAAATTAACTCATATAATGTTTAATACATTCACATAATATATTATAACTTATTATCCAATTATTATTAATTTCTTTTCTTATATTAATAGAATTTAAATCAGGTACTGAAATTTAGGATAAAAATTTTATCATTAATTCTTAACCATTTTTAGATTATTAAATCCATTTATATAATTATTCATTTAATTCTACACATTATTAATGAGATGATATTTATAAAATGTATTTAAATAATTTAAACATAGGTCTACATATTTAAACTAAATTTTTATCATAATCTTAAGTTATTAAGAATTATATGTTAATATTAATTAAATTAGCTAATTAATAATAATTTATATTTACTTAATTATTATATATATTTATTAAATACTACAGTATTAACAAATTCTAAATATTTTACACTGAAATTTACTATTAAATTACTTGATTTTTATGATTAAATTTATTCATATTCATATATGTGTAATATAGTATTATTATAAATAGTTTTAAATATTTATTCATGATAACCTATAATAAATATATATTATTACTAATTTAAGTATTTTGTATTTTCTAAGTGAATAATTTTGTAATTATTATATCATTTTGATATAAATACAATAAAGCATCATGAATTGCAATTTTTAAAATGTCTTTTTATTATGATTTTGTGTATAAATTAATTATTTAATCTAACAATTATATGTGATCTTCCATCAATAAGATATATGTTGATATCAATAAAACAGAATTTATTTCTAATTAATTAACATATAATACTTGATAATTGATTTGATTACATCTATATATCTAAGGATAATAAATAATTATAAACCTTAGAAATATAGAAATCCTAATTTTTGAGTGTTCTACCATTTTTTAGTAAAATAATGAAGATATCCTTGCCTAAATTACAAAATCAATTACAAAGAATAGAGTTTAAACTACTGTTTATTTTTGTTTAATTTTTATCTTGGAGGATTAAAAAAAAGATTTCCAAATACTCTAATAATTAATCTTATTATATAAGTGAGACAATTAAGAGTATTCCTTAGATTGCAGATTATTAGATAATTGAATTGTCTGAGATTGTGTACGTTAGAAATAAATTGAATAGCTATTTTTTTTGAGAATATTTAAAATAAATACTTTTGTACAATTCTACATCCAATTAATATCAATTATGTGAAGCAATGTTGATATTAATTTGATGTCTATGGCAATATCATATTCTTTTTTGATTGCATTTATAAAGTCAATAATACTCAGTTATTGATTCTTAAATTTAAGATAATTTTTCATTACAGGATTAAATGTGTGATTGGATTATTAAATTATATTTATTGCTTTAAGGACATATCCCTCATTCTTGGAATGTGATATTGTTTGTAATAACAATGGCAATTTGTCAGCATCTTATTCTTAAAGTTCAAACAATTATTTAATATTCATAATAAATAAAAATGGTTGATAATCCAGTACAGCTGCATATTGATTTTGAAAATTTATAAGTTTCTGATTAAGATGATGAATGCTACAGTGGAGTTTCAGATGTTTCTGTTGAACTTTAATTATTAGAATACTCACCATAATAACCAGCTAGCTTAAACATAGAAAGAAGCATTGTCTCCTATTTCAAGGAACTTGGCATTAAAATGAAAACAGATCCAAGAGCTAAACAAGATAGATATTTTAAGAGAAAACGGCAATTTAAAAGGGCACAAACTACATTTATGGAAGAAAAAGAAATTAAATCAACTACTATGACTCCACCTTAAATTGGTAAAAAGCCTACAATGTAATTACAAATGAATTCAATTATCGGAAGACGCACTCCACAAAATTTAGGAAGCACCCCTTTACTACAATTTCCAAATAAAGTTACTGAAAAATCTAAATTCAGCTTATAACGCGATACATCTAGTTCTCCAGTATGAATTTTATAATACATATAACAAATTAATATCCTATAAAATAAATGCTTAAATTCACAACTTTTAAGTGGTAATCATGATTTTTATAAATTAATTTTGAAACTTTAAAATCATGATAAAAGGAATCAATCAATTTTATATACATATATATGACTTTATTTTTAATAATTTCAATGTTTAATATTGAATTGATGACCCAATTCATACTCATCATCAAATCTTTAAATAACTTATTGTATTACTCAATAAATGATATCATCTAACATAAAACAATGAATAAGTACTTAATAACTTAAATAAATGATCAATCCTTATCTAGTTAATTAAATATTTGGAATTCAATGAATATTTTATTATGATAAGAATTGGATCTATTTATATATTTATATTTAATTTCTTATAAATTTTTCCTTTTTATTTTTATTTTTATTTTTGTTGATAGGTTACAAAGTGTATTTTATGAATGGATACTTCAAGTGGAATGAAATTCTAGTACAATAATCTTAAAGAACATATGAATTCCCTTATTGAATTATACTTAAAAGAAATTCATTCTGATCAAAAAGAAAGTTCTTGTAGCCTTAAAAATTGTTAAGACTAATTTTATTGTCTTAAATAAACGATTAACAATTAGCTTTGTTTTAAAGTTATAAGATTCATTTTATTACTAAATAATATTTAGATATTACATTATTTATGATAATACATTGTTAAAGAGATTTTTCCATTCTATATCTATGCTGCTTTGAAGATCTGTTGACGACCTGATGTTCTATCTTTTTCAAGTAATTTAACTTTATCTATATTCTTCTCTAAATACTAGATTGTTATTTTATTCCACTTCAATCTTGATTACATTATTTCGTAATAGTATTGTAAGAGAAAAATATACATTTCCTCAAAAATAATTTATTAATCATTCATATATTTTTTCTCTATATCTTAAAATTTCAGCTATTATATTCTCTCTATATAACTATGTTTAATTGAAATCTTCTACAATAATAAAATTTTAATCTTTAAATCTATAAAAATTCTATTATATTTTCAATAAAATCATTAGAATATCAATATTATAAAATAAGATTAATCAATAGGTTTTGATTATACTAATAAATATTTTATTGGTTGTTTATTATTGTAATTAATAGATAGTTTCTGCATTTTAAATTTTTTATTATTTAATTATTATATTAATTCATATATATTACATAATACAATTTACAAATAAATAATCATATTATCTTATTATGAAACTTGAAAATTATATAATATCATTAGATTAATTAAACATTCTGAACAAAATTAAAATATTATTAGCTTATTTTTATAATATAACTCTTGTTCCTTTACAAAAATTTCTATAATAATATTATAACAATTATTTAATCCATTACAGATATACATAAAATATCATGTTTTTTTAATTCTTAAACTTAATGTTTTCTTCTTATCAAATTAGTCTTGAAATCTTAATTTTACAATTTTTAAAGTTATGATTACTTATATTAATTATGTTATTCTTGTTTAATTCAGGATTTGAATAAAGTCTAATTTACTTTTTCTATTACCAAATACTTTTTGATCAAATTTTAATCTATTTATTTTTCATTTTTATTTTCTTTGGCCAGTAATGATACAGCTGTTTGTTATTTAAGTAAATAATTAGTTGAGCATCTAGATATTTGTGATTTTCAAGTTTCTTTAGATGAAATTAGCTTGTCTAAGAAGAGACTTTCAAATGATATCTCTATTCCAATTTGATGTAATGTCATCTTTTTCAACAATTTTAATGGTTATTCTTTATGTACATCTAAATCTATTTAGATTAGAACAATTTCATTATTAATCAAAAATTGATGACATTATCATATGTCATTTATCACTTTAGAAATGACTTATTGGAATTTAAATCCTGCAATTACTATTAGTTATTCCATCTGAATGTAATTAAAATAAAGAAAGAGAATTGATATCTCAGATGATCGTATTAATTTGATATTTATATATAAGCTCTCTTTTTCAATGATGAACCCATACACAAATTGAGGAAGTTTAAATTGAAGAAATTTGCAGATTTAGAAACTCTAATACATCAATAAAGTTAACGTAGAGAATCATTTAACTAAAATGTGAATTAAAATAAGTTATAATAACAATATAAGAACCAATCACTTGATCAAGGCAAGATGATAGATTATGTAAAAGTTTAAAATAAAGAGTATTGATCAAAATATGATTTCATAGGTTAAACAAAGTTAAATTACAATAAAAACTTTTGAACCGATCCCGTATACTATAAGATGAACCATAAAAAAATAAAGATAATAATTTACCTTTCGTTGAAGTAATTCTATACATTATCTATTAAGTAATACCTTTTTAGAAAAACATTTTATAACATCATCAAAAGATCTCATCTTAAACATGAAAGCATTAAAGCCTCTTTAAAGAAAGTTGAGACTCTTTTAAGTGGCATAGATACAACTAGAGATTAATATCCTTTGCTTTCACCTATTGTTTAAACTAAATAAAATTAGATCAAAACTTGTAGAAATGAAGATAATTCAAGTTATACTATAAAATCTCAATTGCTTAATGTAACTGAATCACCAACTGTTAGAGATAGATCATCTTCTCTTAAGTAAACTATTGAGTAGAATAATGAAATAAGAAGTAATTTAATATAATTTCTACATTTTAGTTATGAGGAGAGCAAAAGTAAAAGAAATAATTTATAAAACTGAGGAAACTAGAGAACGAAGTATGGCAGCTGTAAGATAATTGCTAATTTAAATAGAAACTATCAGTTTATAGTGAAAAACCAGATAGTATTTAGCCAACAAAAAAATAATTATAATAACTTAGATTTAGATGGGTTAGAAAACTAAAGTATAAAATTGAATTACACAACAATTAAATGAAATAATTTATGGATTTCTTAGAATATCTAAAATCATCTGAAATAAAAGTAACAAATGAAGATCATTAATATTTAAAATACTATAGAGATAAATTATTAAATGGTGATCATCTTGTTGACTAAGATTTTTAGATGATGATCAATGATAAAAATACTAATGAAATTGGATAATTAATTAGAAATTCGATAGCTATTGAAAATTGATTAATGTTTATGTAACAATTTATTCCAGAATTTTGGATAAAAATAATTCATTATTCATATTCATAAGTGTATAAATAATAAATCTTTTATATATTATTTTAATCCAAATGGCAGAGAATGTAAACATATTTTCTCATTATTTTAATAGTTTGAATTAGCAGCAGAAGAAGTTAAATCATTCGTTGATAAATTGAATGATCAAACTAAATTATAGATCTATGGATTATACAAATAAGCAACAGTTGGTGATGTTAATATTGGTATTTTTGTAAACTTATAATCACTTTAGGTAAACCAGGAATCCTTGATCAAAAGGGAAGAGCAAAATGGGATGCTTGGAATTCCAACAATGGAAAATCAAAGGAATAAGCCAAAGCTGAATATGTGTAAGTCGTTAAAGCCAATGCCCCAGCTGATATCGCAAAAAACTTATGAGAGTACAAGAATGATAATATCATAATCAATTTACATAAACATATAAATATCTAGATGACAAAGTTAACTAGCACAATTATTGGATAAATTATCATATTTTAATAGTATGAAATGAGATAATTCATAGATAAATATATGAATATGCAATAATAATATGATATTCTAATAATAATATTAGTTAGATATTGTTAAATTTTAGAAATAGAATCAAAAATGATTGACTTATCTATAAGATTGTTAAACTATCTTTCTTGATTAATTTTCAATAATTAAATAGGTAGATAGAGTATCTAATTTGTTAAATCTTCTTTTAACAATAACTTATTGAATTCTAAGTAAGTTTTTTTCTTTGAATAAGGATTTAATTTTATGTAATAAATTTGTGACTTTCATTTACGTTTCATAAAATAAGTCTGTTGTGAAAATCAATGTTCATCAAAACTTCTTTGTGATGAATGTATAAAATAAAACAATGATCATGCAGGTCATAGGTTAGTTGATTTATAACAGTTTATGAATTTAGCAGAATAGTTTTTAAAAGGAGGATAGTACATATATTAATTATAAATTCATAGTCCAGAAGTTGTATTATATGGTGCTGATTTAAATACTAAAACTAAGATTTATGTTTCAAACACTCAAGATATTAAGTAAGAAATGTAAGCATAGTATGTTAAAATTCTGGAAGATTAGATTTAAAAATATATAAATCAATTAGTCGATGGAATCAAATAAGGTAAAAAAATGATTATAGATTTTGTGAATTCAATTATTGAAGAGAGTTTTTCTTCAGCAGTTTTAAAGTATTACATTATCTAATTATAGTAATCGAGAATGTAGTCATATGATTGTTAAAGGTGTTTTATAGGCATTTGAGTAAAAGATATCAACAAAAGATGGAAATAATTTATTATATAGATTGCATACAGGATAATTAGAAAAAGATTATTATGAAAAGAAAGTAAAAGATTTTTAGTTTATATTTAGATACAAGGTTTAGTAGAATTGTTTCAAACTCATTTATAATAAATTCTAGAACCATTAGGTAATTAAGTAGAGAATTATGCAAAATAATTTCTATAGTAAATGGAAAAAGTTAAAGTTTCTGTTAAAAATGAACATTTTAATATGAATAGGACGAATATGCTTGCAAAATAATTTAAAATTAAAGATATGGTTATTGATTAAAACCTTTAATTAAAAGTTGAATAGCCAAATTATATTTCAAGAAAACACAATGTATCATTACCACCACCTCTACAAAATGAAAGTGAATATTAGAATATATTTAAACTTAAAACTGCTAGAATTCCTAAATAAAGGAAATTAGAATTACTTAAATCTTTAGACTTTATGCATCATACAGCAAGAAGTGATTCAAATATGTAAACAATTTCATAAATCACTCCTTAAAAAGCTAAATTAGATAATGCTGGATAAGATCTTAAACGAATTATGGTTGTTAATTCAATTCATTAAAATCTACTTGATGTCATTAGCATATAAGGTAACATATGTATGACATCTGGAAAAGAAGGCACATTAAATCTATTTACTATATAAATTGAAGGAACAGATATTTCTATAATAAATCAACATTAAATTAAACCCCATCAAGAATTAAGAGATGTAGAAGTATGTTAAACTCCAGGAATGTTTCTTACAGTTGGAAGAAACATCAAAGTTACAAATGAGAAATATGTGGATTTAGGATATATTGTGAAATTATTTCTATTTCAAGATATTAAAGACATTGAATTATTGACTGAATTTAGAGATCTACATAATTAACCTATTGAAAAATTGAAGTTTATCAATGAAAATTATATTAGAACAAGAATAGAATATTCAAAATTTAGTAATGAATTAGAATTTGCATCTCAAACTGTTGACACAATTAAAGTATGGAAATTTTCATTTGATAGTTCAAAAATATATGAAGGTGAAATGTAAGAAATGTATAAAATAGAGGTTAAATAATAAATTATTAAATGTATTGAATTTTCTAATGATTTCTTAATTTTAACAACCAAATAGAATTATTCCATATATCATAAGACTACTTTAATTAAATAATAAGTTTAAGGGAAAGATTTTATTGTAAAATCTAAGGTTATTAATAATAATAGAGTTATGATATTAAGTAACTAAGGAGTTATAACAATATTGGATATGTTGAAGATTAAAAATAATGAGAAATCATTTGAACCTCAAAAAATAGTAATATATATATATAATTAATCAATTTTAGAATATTAAAAAATATTTAAGATTGATCCTATTTGAAAAAGAAGAAAAAGAAGTCGAATTTATAGATTGCATATAAATTAATTAAAAATTCCTTGTATTTATGCATAGTACAGTTTATGATTATTTTCTTACATTAAATAAAAACTTTGAAGTAATAAATACTTTTACAAATTTAGGTAGAAAATAGATACAGATACCCACCATCTGAAATAAGATTATTAAAATGCTTAGAATTCGATAAATACAATCTAATCATAAGTGTTGAAGGTAAGAATGACTTCGGGATTTGGAACATTGTTTTAAAATGATTTATATATATTTATGTCTAATAATTCAATATATCAATGGAATATGGATTTCTTTTATGAATTCAATAAGGATTTAGTTTCTACTGTTTAGTCATTAAACACATATGCCTCACCACCAGCTAATAATATATATAAATCAAATACCATAGCTTTAGTCGATTCCTAAAGATTCTTATTCAGGTTTAATCTTAAAGATTCCAATACCTTTTAATGGTACTAATACTACTAAAATCAATAGAGCCCATCCAGCAATGGAAAGTACTCCTACAATTTATATTCCAAATTGTTTTAATCCATAACCATAAAATAATCCATGTGATCTTGATAATATTCCATATAATAAAGTTCCAAGAACTCCTGGTACAAGATGAGCACCAACTGCTTATCCTGGATCATCTACATGAGATCTTTTAACTATTAATTATATCACAAGATATGAGATTCCAGCTAATGTTCCAATAAAGGCTGCTGCCCATAATTAAATATCATTGGCACTTGCACTAACTGCTACAACTCCTGCAAGAGCTCCTCTAGCTATAGTTATTAAACTTGTTTTTTCTTTTTTCAAATAGTATGAAACATAACTACTTAATCCACCAAATGAAGCTGCCAAAAATGTATTGACAGGTACTAATCCCTTAATATAATTTTCTGATCCTCTATTAAAACCAGAGAGGAAAATGATTTATACAACAACAACTATTATTGTACCTATTCCAATAAAGAATGGTGCATGATGTGGGAAGATACCAGGATGAATTTTTCCATTCTGATCTCTACGTTCATGTAATAATAATGATGCCACCAATGCAGTAACACCTCCAAATACATGAATTACTGAGCTTCCTCCAAAATCTTAGAATCCAAATAAACTCAACCATCCTTTACCAAAAGTCCAATGAACAACTATTGGATATAAGAGTCCTTATAAAATTACTACTCCAAAACTGAATGAAAAGAATCTTGATCTCTCCAAAGTTCCAAATGCAAAGATTGAAGTAACAAAAATTGCAGCAATTGTTTGGAATACAAAATTATCATAATCATTTTTGTTTGGTGTTGATTCAAATGATGCAGCGGCAAACAATGATTTACCTATGAATTTATTTGAATCCAATCCAAATGCAAATGCATAACCAGTCTAATTTGATATTAGATTATTTTACAATGAAGAAAGCAATAATTGTTAAGATTGCACCCAATAATATTGTTATAATAGCAGATTGTACTGATTTGTATCTGACCGCTCCAGCAGCTATCATTGAATATCCTAGTAGTCCTAAGATAGAAAAGAAGCCACAAGACAACACCCAAGTTTCATCTAAACCCATTTGATTCCGTTAAAATTATTAATTACTTTTTGGAATTCAAATTTTGTTTTTATATTTGGATATTATATATATTCAATTCTGATCATTGTAATAATGCTCTCACAACAGTATTAACATTTAATTTTTTTAAATGTGTATATTTCTGTCCTACTCCAACAAAAAGAATTGGTTTGCCTGTGGCTGAAGTTAATGATAAAGCTGCACCAACTACATAATATATTATTAATCATTTACCTTTTTCATCAACAGTATCAAATTTACTCAAAATAATAGCATCAATCTCTCTAACATTATCCTTAGGACTATTTACAATTAAAGCTTTATTAAAATTAACCAATTAATCTACTCCATCATTACCAACTAAGGCTTCCCCTACAAATAATACAAGATCAGGATTATTCATGGTTACTATTCTTGATAATGCTCTCATCAATGGTTCATTGTGTTACATCCTTCCTGCTGTATCTACTAAAACAACATCAATTTTTTTTATTGTTGCTTCCCTTATAGCTTAATAAGCAATTTCAGGAGGATCATCTTTATATCCTCTATCATAAACTGGAATCCCCAAACATTATCCATGAGTTTTTAATTATTCTACAGCACCAGCTCTAAAATTATCACAAGCGGCTATCATTAATGAGAAGCCTTAACTTTTGAATAGATATCCTAATTTTGCAAGTGTTGTTGATTTTCCTACTCCATTAACTCCTATAATAACTATTACATAAGGTTTTTATTTTTCTTTTGATCTTAATGCTTCAGCAATAATATCAATATGTCTATTAGGTGTCAGAATTCTTGTTAATGTTGATTTCATTGCTTCTTAAACTGAAGTACGTATAGATTGAAATGCCTTTGTTTTTGTAGCTAATAAATTACTTTTAATAGAGTCAACTAATTTTTATGCTATTTCTTCTGCTACATTTTTCTACATTAATGCATTTTTGAAATCATCTAAAACTGGTAATAAATCTTCTTCAGTTAATTATTTATTTCCTGTAAGATTCTAAATTTTTCCAGTCAATTTTGAAAATAAACCTTATTTTTTTTATTATTTTGGATTTTCATCATCTGAACCAAATAAAGGATCATCATCACCAACAAATTATTTTAATAAATCATCTTCCTATTCTTAAGTCATATATTTCTCATTTTAATTAGTTTAAAGTTAATTTTAAC